AAATATGAACATTTTTATCGTTTTTAATATCAATTTCAATTAACTTGTTCAAAGCTTAAATTATTAGAGAGAACGTGTATTTGTTATCAACATTTATATCTCAAATAATATTTTATATTCACACCACAATTTTTTTTCTTGCACCACATTTTAATTGAATTTAAGGTTCTCAATCTTCGTTCATTATAGTACTTATGTTGTCAATGATTTTTCATATCATTATTATCCTCAAACTTTCCATTAGTTAACGTATTTTGTATTTGATAACACTGTTATGTCCAAAAGTCCGTTGAAATTAAAATAACTTATTTTTTTAATTGTATGTTTTAAAGTATGAAAACAAAATATTTTCATATAAATTATCATCAAGGACGTGAAGTATTAATTAATGGAAGGTTGACGAAAAAAATTTGACGAAAAAAGTTAAGAAAGTAATTGGTACAATGAGTAAAAATTGAAGAGTTTAACTACAATTAAAATGTGGTGTATCAAATAAAAATTGTGATAACAATATAATCATCAGTGTTAATTAAGATTATTTGATGATGAAAATACAAATTTACCCCTCTTTCCAAAGATGGTGGACAACTTGCTATTAGAACAATAGAATGGGGACCAATATTGCTAATTTTGCCTTTATATTATCTTTATAATTTGCTCACTCACACTTTCTCCCAAGTAAAAAGTTTCGTTAGTCATTGAACTTTGTGCATTGTCATGTTATAGTCACCCTACTTTTAAATTCTTATGAATGGTCATTCAACTTACACAAAATTCTTTCCATTCACCACTCCCAAGTAGCTGTTTAAATTTTTGCTTAGGTGGCATGACAGAATCCTGCGTGTGAATTTGATGGTGTTATTTTTGTCTACATGGCTGCCAAGAAAGAAAATCATTCTTTCCAAAACATGACTTTCGTTCCTCGAGCGCAAACCACAAATCCTAAATAAAAAATCCTAAACTACGCGAAATCAGCTCCACCAATTTCCACCATCCCCTAATCTTCCAACCCACCATCCTGCCCCTAATCTTGGATTGGAACCTTTTTCTTTTGTTGAGGAGAGAAAGAAATCGCGAGAGATGAATGGAAATAATTTTGTGTAAGTTTTGTGACCATTCGTAAGAATATCAAAGTAGGGTGACTATAACACGAAAATGTACAACTTAATTCCGTTTCCTTCTCTCTCTCTGACCTTTTTGATAACCCAGCCCACTTTTCCACCTCTACTTGATTTTTGCGGTTTGAAAAGCTTCTCATTTTGACAATTTGGAACCATTTTTTCCTTTTCTTTTGCTATTTTTTATGTGGGGTTTTGTTATATTTTCTTGAATAATTCTGCTTTACTCGAACTATTCACTTACAAAAGGATTACAGAATAGTAGAGTTCCAAAAGTACCCTCCTATATAGAATTTGTAAACAAAGCCACTATAAGAATATAGAAACTTCAATTAAGTCCGCAAAAATTTATAAACCAAGAGTCTTTGATAAATTTAATTCTAAAATATTTTAAATGAGAAAACCCGAGTTCCATAAGATGTGTAATGCAAGTAAAAAATTAAGATATGAATTAACCATTAGATTTTATATCCTTCTGATAATCAGCCCCTGTTTGTCTACCATTTTTACAAACATTGTTTTCTACAGTAAACAATCTCAACCACATATTCACTCAATAAAATATTCCACACACAAACCAATAAAGTTATTTTAAATTTCAACCACACATTCTCCAAAAAATACTATTTCTTACTCCATTTCTCTACCAATAATGGTAGACAAATAGGTTCTCACGGAGTAACAAAAGAACATATAATAGAATGTGTAAAAAATACTAAGAATGATTAAAAATTTCAAAAATCTCTTAAAAACTTCACTTCCACACGCACTTCAAAAATGATATCAGAGCCATGTTACGAACCTAAAATCACAATGAATATAATTGACGAAGAAAATATAATCGAAATTTTTTTGAAAAAGTTGAAAAACATAAGAAACATAGTTATCCTTATTTAGCTAAAAATAGTACAAATGAAAAATTTGAGGATATACACAAAAGATTGAAAAATCTAGAATATAATATATAAATAGGAAATGCTCTTTTAGATAAAAATCTTAAAGGAAAAGACAAGATTATTATTAATTCGCCTCAAGATTACATGATAACACTGAAAGATAAAGATAGAGGAAAAAATCATGAAATAAAACAATATATGATTATAGAAGTTGAAGAATTAGAACAAAAATTTTTAGAATTTACTGGTGAAGAATATAATGAGTATAAAAAATAGTTAGAATATTTAACTGAAAAAAATGAAAAATACAAAGATGAACATTAATCCATCAACTAGTCATAATATAAAAACAGAATTTAGTAGTGATGGAGAATATGAATATGCTTATGGTACACCGATACCTAATAAATATGGTGTTAATCAATATAGAAAAATACAGAAAAGATACACTGAAAATATAGGAAAACAATTTATAAAAGAAATAAACTCAATGAAATCTTATAATAAACCAATCCACACAATGGAGATATTGTTAGATTTTGATTGTGTAGATAAAGATAAAGCCATTGAAACATTGATGAAAAGCACCGACTTAACTATATAATTTAACAAATGGGAAACATATACAGCATTTGAATTTATAGAACATATAATTCAGAGGAATTTGTATCTGAATGGTGGAGAAAACCACCACAAAATATAAAAAGAAGAATAAAACATGAAGAAAATACAACTAAAGCATTAGATAATAGGAATACTTTGAATGAGCAAAATATATAAGAAATATTAAGAATGTTTGAAAGAGCACTGAGAACAGAATTATTAGGACACAGATTTACAGTTGATGAAGAAATTAGAAAGCAAAAAGAATATAATGAATGAATGATGACAATAGAAAATTTAAAGATTTGTGATAAGTGTGAACTAGAAAGATACAAATGCAAATTTCAAGAAATATACTATATACTAAACTAATGAGATTATCAAGAAAATAAACTTATACTAAGAACTTAGTTTATGAAGTTACAATTCCTATGGGGAATAAAACTATTAAAAGAATATGAGAAATTATTACCCCTTTGAAAAGAAGATGACGTGAATAAAGATAGTCTTGAATGTAGAATTGAATTTACAAAAAGAATGGTAAGTATCTGGTGTAGAGAAGCCTTAGAAAGTAAGAAAGCATATAAGATGAGAATAAACTCATTGTGTTGTTATAAAGATATATGACAAATTGAACAATTTTGATGTGACAAAAAGAAATATGAACCATATAAAAAATATAAAAGAAAATTCAAAAACTACAAAAAATTTAAGAAAAGAAAAGAATTTGAACTAAAAAACCTAAATCAAAATATATTAAGAAATGTAGATATTTTATCTGTAATGAAAAATGACACATTGCCCCTCAATGTCCTAAAAAGAAAGATAAATAGAATAAAAAAACTCTTGGAATCTATGAAGAATTCCAAAATGATAGTGATATAGAGCCAATTGAATATTTTGAAGATTTAAGTAGTGAATGCAGTATCATTTATGAATTAGATACATCATTTTCAGAAGAAGATTCTGAAAAGATAGTATATATGAATCAAGGAATACAACAAATAGATCAGGAAATAGAAGTAGAAACAACTAAGGAAGTTGAAGATTCAGTAGAAAGTATAAACCAAGAAATCACATTTGATGCTAGAAAATACAAATGGATAACTAAGAAAATATTAGATTTGCAAGAAAAAGATGTATTCCATCAATGATTCTTAAGAATACTACCAAGAGTAAATAAAACTATTGTAAGTATGAACTATAAATAAATATCTATCAATATAGAAGACACAATGAGAAAAGTAAGGATCCATATAATCACAAAAGAATGGGTAAGACAAAAATTATCCAAAATTCCAAAAAATATAAGAAGTAAGCTAAAGTGTATTGAGATAGGAGGAATCCAAATCATGGTAAAAGCCTAAAAGGATTCTTTAGAGAATGTATGAATATAGCAATAGAAATATATTGCATGGACAATATAATCTTACAATATCCTATAGATGCTCTATTAGGAACTGTTGTAGAAAATCTAGTCTATCAGAAGATAACATTCACAGTATAGCGGTTTCACTGATTGATGAAAATATTAACAAAAGTTTTTCAATTTATATTATAGAATTGAAAGCTTGAATTTTTTTTTAAAAAGTAAGGTTATTAGTATTAACATAAAATCAATTTTTGCTTTTAGTACGCGCCATTACAACAATCTAAGAAAGATAACAGATAATATTATCATACATAAAATTTTTGAAAAATTAGCCCAATATATACCTCCCAGAAAATATCAAGAACATGAAGTTAAAATATCAGAACAAATAATGTTTGATTTTCACAAACAAGCAAGGGAAATCAATTCTAAAGGAAATTTGATAAGAAAAAATAATGTCAGTTTAGAATGAGATGATCTTATTTCAAGATTTCTGTCCGGACAAGACTTTGCAAATAAAGAAAGTAAGGGCAAAATAGTAATTTGATAGAAGCTAATTTTGGCAATTTCCTTCTGCTTGTAGCATAACCCTATTTTCTTACAATAGTTACGCTTACTTAACACGGACATACGGACACATCCAACCCTTGCTGTTGCCGTTTCACTTTCCTGGCCTCATCTCCTCCAGACCCCCCCACCCCAACTCAACCCCCACATTTTGCTCTCTTTACATTTTTTTCAACTTTTGATGCAAAATGTGGGTTGTCGGATGTGTTACAAAGTGAATGCTGATTGTTTTAGCTGTTGTATGGTTCATTTATTAGTGGTTCGTGAGCTTTTTATTGAATCTTACCTTTATGGCGTGTTCATAAAGTTGCAGACTTTCTTTCATTTCTGCAGTCATTTTATGATTTTGTGAAAGATTTCTGATCTGGGTTTTTTCGGGTTGATTCTACAAGACAGTGAAAAATATTGGAAGCATTTTTCTGGAGAGAGAAAAAAGGTAAATTAATGGCAGGCGGTGGAGCTCCGAAGGCAGATGAGCCAGCGCCACATCCACCAAAGGATCAGCTCTCACAAGTTTCCTACTGCATTAACAGTCCTCCTCCATGGCGTCAGTCTCTCATCTTTTTGTTGACATTTCTTCACAATCTAGTATATTCTTTTTGTTAATATTTTGGGTTTTAGTATAAAGTGATTGTAGATTCCTTGAACCATGTTGTTCTTGATTTTTTTTCTTTATCCTTCTTTCTCTCTCTCTTTTTGGTGGGTGGAAGCCACTTTTTTTTTGATCTTATGTTGTTGTTTACTCTGACTGTATATACTTATTCTTTTTGTCTAATACTTTTTTAGTTTAGGTAGAAAGTGGTAGCGGATTTTGAGCTCAGCCAGGTTGTTTAAATCTATTGATTCCTTTAACCCTTCATGTTAATATTCTTGTAAGCCAACTTGTTATAGTCCGATAAAGAAATGAAAAAGAACTTGATTCCAAAGCAATTGATCAAAAGGCTGCCGAATTAGCCAATTTCCTGCTAATCGAATTCTTTTGAGAAATGGAGAGCAATGTCATGTGCATTTTATATGTAGCATAAGTGGATATGGTATCCAATTTTTTAACCTGACTAAGCCGGGATCTAGGATTTGTTCAATGTGTTCTGACTGATTCCTCGATCAATGTGTGTATAATTGAAGTTGCATTGCAACTTTCCTACGTATTCCGTGGGTTCTTATTGCTTTCTTGACAATCTTGGACTGTCTCATTGCAGCTGAGGCCATCCTTCTTGGATTTCAACATTACTTGGTGATGCTTGGCACAACAGTTATCATACCAACTGCTCTGGTTCCTCAAATGGGGGGAGGAAATGTGAGGCATTAAATTTCTAAATCCTGTTAAATTCATTCTAATGCTGACTTGGCTCATATGGTATTCACCGGATAAACGAATTACACACTTTTTTTTCTAGGAGGAGAAAGCAAAAGTTATTCAGACTTTGCTATTTGTTGCTGGTGTGAACACCTTGCTGCAGACATGGTTTGGGACTCGATTACCTGTGGTGATTGGAGGGTCGTACACCTTTGTGGCTCCCACTATATCAATTATCTTGTCTGGTCGATGGAGTGACCCAGACCCTATATCGGTTTGTGATCCCAACTCTATCCCCATTGCATTCTCTTTATAAGTGGCATGTTGAGCTTTGTGGCCTAGTGATTGTTATGCATAAACTTAGAACTCTGTAGTTTTCTATATATTTTATTCTATTGTGTTCCTCAGCCAAGTGCTACACTATTAAATGCTGCTGTTTTAATTTTGGGTGAGATGAAAATAAGAAAGTCGGTCAAGCTAATAAGTTTCAGGATTATTGGTCAAACATGTTCCATTTTTGTCAACCAAGGCTTTGATGAAGATTTGTCATATGCTACTACCTACTTTTACTTGATTCTGCATATTAATGCTTACAAAGAGATTAGTTTTAACAAGAAAAAGAACATTAAATACCCTGGTTACTCTTGTTGGATTCTCGGTTTTAATTTGTTAAGAACTTTTAATTCCCTTGCAGAGATTCAAGAAGATAATGCGGGCCACCCAGGGAGCACTTATTGTTGCCTCAACTATTCAAATAGTCCTAGGTTTCAGTGGTCTTTGGCGTAACATCACAAGGTTTGTTTTATGTTATGGGATTCGCATAAATGATTTAGACTAACTCAAAAGATTGGGATGTTCTTATATTGTATTTAGTAATCTAGCTGGACTGGTCTTATATAAGCCATGCATTTTTTGTTTGCAGACCATTTTAGCGATCTGTTATTAATATTTTTTTGGACATTTCCAAGTTAAACTTCTTGTTTCCTTTTTCTTATTGTTCATTCTTGGTCTAGCAAGCACAAAATATCTGAGCTGTCCATAGCTCAAACTTGTTTAAGTTACAGATGGGGTTTAAAATCATAGAATTTAGGGCGCAACACACTTCGCCCTTTTTCTGAAAGCATGTGTGAAAGCGATTTTATAGCCTGCGAAAGAAGCTCCTTAACGTCCTTAGCCTAGCTGACTTAGGAGGTCCCCTGTATTCAAACAAAAGACTAAGAGACAAGAGGTCAAGCTTGTCCTCGTCTGAGGGGAGGTGCTTAAAAAGACTGATAAATAGGGAAGAGACAAAAGCGGGAAAAGAGTACACAGAATGCATGATCCAGTGCTTGACTTTACTATAATTTAAACTCAACGAGATTGTTGTTCCATATCTTGTCAATTTGCTCATAAAAACCACCCTACTTTCGTGTAGATATCTAGGGGGATTTTCTCATTCAGATTTCAGTTAATAAGATTTGATCATTTCTATGCAATGCAGGTTTCTGACTCCACTCTCGGCTGTTCCCTTGGTTGCTTTTGCTGGTTTTGGGCTCTATGAGTTCGGTTTTCCTGGGGTATGCATAAGTGTTTATTGATGTCTCTCTCTCTCTCTCCACCCATGGATATGCGTTTTCTCTTCATGTTTGCCTATACATATTTGTAAAACAATTGGTTTTTATCTGAACTTTTCGTTTGGTTGTTAGGTTGCCAAATGTGTTGAAATTGGATTGCCGCAGCTCATCATTCTAATTTTTGTATCTCAGGTAACGTCTTAATCGCACTTTGATTATTACATGCGCTGTTTCTTAAAAGAGACCACCTCATAAAGTATTTAGCTGTAAAGCTGAAAGTGACTTATGCTTCATGCTATCATGGAACCACAACTATCACGATAGAATTAATTTTGCTTATTATTGCATTATTTGTCCCATCCCATTCACCATAGAATAACTAACATGATGAAATTAATTTGCCGGTTATTGCAGTATTTGGCCCACATTATACGCCCAGGAAAGCATATCTTTGACCGTTTTGCTGTTATATTCTCGGTAGTAATTGTGTGGATTTATGCCCATTTACTTACTGTGGGTGGGGCCTACGACAACAAGGCACCGAAGACCCAAGCAAGCTGCAGAACTGATCGTGCTGGACTTATTAAAGGTGCTCCATGGTAAGCTGAGCTCCCCCCCCTAATCGTGGTAATTATTCAATTGGTTTCTCTGTACCTTGTAAACTTAATAATGCAACAAGAAGTAAAAAATCTTTTAAGACAATTGAAGATGCTATTATGATCTAAATATTGCTTAATCATTTATTTGACATTTAAGGTTTAATTCCTTTATGGGCATTATTCATGTCTACATCTGCTATATCTAGGGCTGTTGAGGTGGTGGAACTGGGGCTGGCCTAACATTTGTCTGTGTGTGTGAAACGAAACATTTCCACTTCTGTCAGTGCTTGTCCTCTGAACTTGCATCATTGCATGCCTTTTCTTACATGACCTATAATTTATTTATTCCAAAAAATAAATAAATAAAGTATTTCAAAAGCTTCCCTGAGGTTTTCATGCTTTATGAACCTTAACCATTCATTTAGTACATGTTTGGTATGCAGTATTAGATTAAAGTACAAATTTAGCTTCTTATTTTCTTCCGTAATATTGTTCATTACTACCTCTTACCAAACACACCATCAAGGAATTTTCTACCTGTTCTGTTCTCATTATAGATTTAGAATTAGGGGCAATATATTAGGATAGACAACAAACAGATAATCGATACATCCAGCTAATTTGATGATGCCACTGTAAAACGGCTAATCTATAGTTTGGTGATACTATAACTCCAGCGTGCATTATGTTTTAGTTGATATAATGATTAGTAGGGTTTTTGCTTAAGCCACAAGTAAATTATTCGATATACTAAATGCATTGAGAACGAGACTGTGTTTAAATGACAAATGGGCTATAGCACTTCTAATGGTTTTATGGGGTTTGCATATGCAGGATAAGAGTTCCATACCCATTTCAATGGGGAGGGCCTTCATTTGATGCTGGTGAAGCCTTTGCCATGATGATGGCTGCATTTGTTGCTCTTGTGGAGGTATGCTTTCGTCTCTTCTTTTCTGCGTTATTATATCCGCGGAGTTCATTTTTTTACCCTGATGGTGACTGTGTTTGATTTTTTCCTCTATTTTTCTTTTTCTTTCTTATTCATCTTCTCTTTATGCTTGAACCATTTGTTTACTATACTATACCCTTATTTGGTGTAGCTAAAAATTAGATTTTTAGTAGATTTAGATAAAATTTGATGAAATATGTGGTCGAAAGTTATGGATATCATGAAATGTGTGATTAAAATTAATTGTTGACTTTAACTTATATTTTATTAATCTTTTTAGCTACACCAAACAGGTCTCAATGAATGTTTAAAAATTCTTCTGCTTAACACTGTCTATTTCTTAATATTCAGAGCATGTTTGGCTACGCTTAAAAAAGGAAGAACATTTTGTTTCTAAACATGTTTGGATATGTTACTTTTTTCTTACTTTTCAAGTAACAATAGTTGCTTGTTTTGAAAGTAACTATTACTTTAGTGTTAAAATAGTACCTACTTATTTCCAATTTTGATAAAGAAATAATTATTTTTTAAAACTTTTTCACTTATAAGCAAACCTTTTAAAATTTGCCAAACATGCTCTCTTCATTTAATGCCTCTATTCGGATATGTATCTGACGTCGTGGAGGAACTGAATATATATCAACCTTTTTGTGTATCTTGAATGCACTTTTAGCACTGGCTAGTTATTTGCATTTGGGTGGGAATCTGGTAGAAATATACCTTTCCATCAAAATGTCAGACGAAAAGGGCAAATGTGGCTTGTTTGCATCCCCATTATACTTCAAAACCATCTCTTTTTGAATTGAATTTGTACTTTTGTGAATTCTGATAATTTGGTATGTTGTATTTAACTTATTTCTTCACTTGTTCTCAATGGAAATGCAGTCCACTGGTGGCTTTATAGCAATTTCAAGATACGCCAGTGCAACCCCCTTGCCGCCATCTATTCTCAGCCGTGGTGTAGGTTGGCAGGTAAACAAGGCATCTTACAAACACCAACAATCCCCACCGCTGAACAGAACCTCCACCCACCCCACCCTCCTTCCAAAAAAAATAAATGAAAAAAAAAATATATACACAAACAGAAGAAAAGAAGAAATAGAAGGCAAAACCAAGACTTTTACATGAATTCTGTTCTTTGAATGACGATCTTCTTTAGACACTGATGGCATTTTTGATGGAGGATAAAATCTTGTTTATTATACACTTCAGTCTCATCCCGTCCTCTAGTCCTGTATTATGTATTAAACATGCTAGGAATGCAGTAAACCTTGGATATCAAATTTATAAATATCATGAAAGACTTCTTTGCTTGACAACTAGCTCGACCAAATTCATATGGCCGGGAATAATACAAGAAGTGACGGGAGATGCACATTTTCAAGTGATAAAATTAGGAAGGCTCCCTTTACGTCGGGCACCGTTATTTCTATATTTGCATTATAACCAGCCAATGAAAACAGCCTCTCCTTCGAAACTAGAGGAAGAATATTAAATTAGCACTAAGTTTATACGTTATCAATGAAACATCTGATCTCGTATATGCTATTTCAGATATGAGATGCATTCAGGCTTGTGCAAGTAAAGAACGTGCTCGTAATTTTACTCTAATATGATGTGGAATGGTTGCGATTCACTATTTTTTAGAATTTTCTGGCAAAATTAGAATACGTCTTAATTTTACTATTTTCAAAACATTGAATGCAGATTTTTGGTGAATTTTTTCATATATATTGCAGGGCATTGCTATCTTATTATCTGGATTGTTTGGAACTGGGAATGGGTCATCTGTATCTATGTAAGACCATATTTTTCTTGAGCATGCTATTATTGCAATTGATCACCTTATAATGCAACTGCTTTTCTTGGCTTATAAACAGTGAAAATGCTGGCCTTTTAGCACTTACACGTGTTGGCAGTCGGAGAGTTGTGCAGATATCTGCTGGATTCATGATCTTCTTTTCCATTCTTGGTAAACTGTTTTGTGATTTTGAATTCTTGCCGATCCACGAAGATTCAATTTTATTTGTTCAAACAAATCTAAACAATAAACCCGTACCTCCTTTATATGAGGTGGTTCAGCATAATACCAAAGCATGCAAAAGTTCTTCGATCTCTTGCCGCCATCCGTTTGTATAAATTTGTGCACGTGATCAGGCTTCACTTAAAAAAATGAACTCGGCCTGCATGTGATGGGGCAAGTTGAAGACAAACTTTAAATAAATAAACGTGTTTCCTCTATAGTAGCTGAAGTCTTTAGACAAGATTGGTTCAACATGGCTGAATTATCTAATTTGTGCAGGAAAATTCGGAGCAGTTTTTGCTTCAATTCCAGCACCAATTGTAGCTGCTTTATACTGTCTCTTCTTTGCTTATGTGGGTACGTGTATATGATCCGGGAAATTTTAACAGCGAACATTCTTGATATTTGGTTCACATTATTACTTACTTTGTATTCTGTGATATTCAGGTTCGGCTGGTATAAGTTTCCTTCAGTTCTGCAATCTCAATAGCTTCCGGACCAAATTCATATTAGGCTTTTCCCTTTTTATGGGCTTGTCCGTGCCGCAGTACTTCAACGAGTACACTGCGATTAATGGCTATGGTCCAGTCCATTCCTCAGGGAGATGGGTAAATTAAAAAAGATCCGAACTTATGAATTTCTTCGACATTTATAGATGTTAAATGCATGCAAAATAACGTTGAACTTACATATTCTTGTGGTTTTTTGCTCTCCAACCAGTTTAACGACATAATCAACGTCCCTTTCTCTTCCGAAGCTTTTGTTGCGGGGATATTAGCGTATTTCCTTGACAATACTCTACACAAGAAGGACAGCCAAATAAGGAAAGACAGAGGCAAGCATTGGTGGGACAAATTTCGCTCCTTTAAAACCGACTCAAGAAGCGAAGAATTTTATTCTCTTCCCTTCAATCTCAACAAATATTTCCCTTCTGTGTAACCTTAGCATCCTAAGATAAAATGGGTTCTCAAATTTAGCTTATTTAAGTAGTTCTGCAAAACCTAAATATGCAGCTTATTGACTACAGAATTGTTCTGTAAGTTGTCTATTTTTCTAAATAGTATAAATAACCTTTTCATTTGAAGAGTGCCTAGAATTTTTGTTTATTATTTCTTTCTGTAAAGCATTACTGTGCATTTTCTTTCAAATTCGGAACTAGAGTGGGGATGCACACTTTTAAAGTATGATCTTGTTGCTTTTTTCGATCCTGCTAAGTGATCCTGCTAAGTATTGTGTGCAGTTAACTTGAGGGTTTGTTTGAGTCTCATTTTTGGTGTAAAACGTATTTTATAACAGTAGATTGATGGAGAATGTGTGGTTAAAAATAAAGGAAAAGTTTTTGGGTTGCGTGTAATATTATTTATTATAGAATGTATGGTTGAAAAGAAGAGAGAAATATATTTTGAAAAAAATGGGAATCAATCAAGAGCTAAGGTTCCATTGGTCGAAGTAGAGCTTGCATGCTCGTACATATGGAGCAAATAGATGCTTGCATAGAGTCATAGTTCATTTGATCGTACCTCAATGCTCGGATGGGAATCGTTTCAGTGCCTGATATTCGACCAATACTGGCCAAGAATGCTCAGATGGGCCTAGTTTCAATGCCTGATGTTTGATGAATACTGTCTCTTGGCATGTAGGTTCTGGTCGTAACATGAAGTTAAGAATACTCGTGTTAATATTTTGACAACTGATTATTACCAATAGTCGTTACATGAACACTTTCCGTCTCTGAAAGTATGGAAACGAGAACGGTCTCTAACAATAATTTCTCTATCGTAAACTTTGGATATGGCCTTGAGAGCACTATGACAATCCTCACAAGTTCTCAAATTTTTCACTACTCTGATAGAAGTTTTAGGGGCGGTGCTCATGAGTGCAAAAGCAATAGCTAGCTTCTCGCTATGCCAAGCCACTGCTTGCTCTTTCTCTTCATCGCTTAAATCAAATGAAACATGAGTGATATTAGCAGCATAACCAACTAAGCCAGCCTTTTTCAATATTTCACTTAATTTGTTTCGAATCTCGATTATCTGTGGATGGAGCTGATCCGCAACTCGAAACTCGTGAATAGAACCATTCACCTCAATCCAACTACATCCAATATCTGATTGGTTCTTTTGCTTGCTCATTTCATGCCTTACTATAGAAACTCTATCCCATTTGCCTAGAGAAGCATACAAGTTGGAAAGTAGGATTTCAGCTCCTCTTTGACTCTGAGAGTCGAGTTGCCCTATATGATTTACTATGCGTTCTCCAAGATAAGTGTTACGATGAACTCTGCATGCACTAAGCAAAGCCCTCCATACAACAACATCGGGATCAATGGACATGCTTTTGACAACTCCAAATGCCTTTGCCAAGTAGCCGGCACGACCAAGTAAATCAACAAAACAACCATAGTGTTCAATCTTGGGCACAATTCCCCACGAGCTCTCCATGTTATAGAAAATCGATAAGCCCTGTTGCACCATACCTGAATGACTACACCCATTCAAAACCCCCAGAATGGTCACTTCATTTGGCTTGATTTTGTCAACTAACATTTGATTGAACATGCGTATAGCGTCCTTACCAAGCCCATGAATAGATAAACCTGATATCATACTCGTATAATTGTGAATATCTGGTCTAGATATCCTATCAAAAACTCGATATGCACAATCCATCCTCCCACACTTTGCATACATGTCGATGAGTGCAGTCCTAACGTTTGAAGTTTCCAACATACCATTCTTGTCTATATAACCATGAATCCAGCTCCCTTGATCCAAGGCTCCAAGATGAGCACAAGCAGATAGAGCACAAACAACAATAGCCTCGTTCAGCTTCACATTATGTTCACTTTTCCCCAACTCGCCGAAATACCTGAGGGCCTCAGCATACCTTTCACATCCTACACAACCCGAAATCATAACGGCCCAAGAAACATCATTTTTCACAGGCATTTCCTCGAAAAATTTGCTTGCTACACCCATCTTCCCCCCTTTCACGTACGCACCGAGTAAACCAGTCCAGGAGAACACGTCTACCTCAGGCATTTCATCAAATACTTTATGTGCATCATCGAACCTTGCAAAAACAGCATACATACTTATCAAAGAATTTGCCACATACAAATTCATCAAATACCCATTTTTCTTCACCATCCCATGAATAATTTCTCCGTGAATAATCGACTTCTGATGAGCACACGAAGTGATCACAGAAGTAAAAGTATACTCATCCGGGACAGCAGAAAAGGGATGGTCTAAAGTAAGCATTTGGTGAAAAAGATTAACGGATTCTGAAGAACCTCGAAGTTTCGAGTATGCTCTGATCACAAGATTCCACACTAAAGTTGGTGGTGAAGGAAAAGGGTAGTTGTTGAACAAGATTCTAGCAACATTAATATTGTTGGTACGTAAATAACAGTGGATGAGCGAATCAGTTAAGGATTTTTGTGATGATATGATGATCAGGGCGTGGATTTTCTTGAGCTCAGAAATTGGTGGTCGTTTGTACAGTAGATTGTAGAGTAATCTCTTTGAGAATTGAATGGAAGGTTGGGTGGTTTGCATTTGTCGGTTTAGAAGTGGCCGAAAAGTCTTGTTGAACTTGAATCGAGATGGAGCTCTCACTGCACAATTTTCAGGTTTCCTATTTATTTATTTTTATTATTTTAATCTTATTCTTAACTCCAAATTGCACTTGTGGGCCATTAACTCTTAACAAAATATATAATAAGTCCTAGTAATTTTTTTAAACAAATAAAAGCAAAAAATTTCATTGCAAATTAGTCAAATATTATTATTTTCAGAATCGAGGCAAATGGTTCAAGGATTAATACCTCCATCCCCTCCGAAATAAATAAAAAAAATAAAAACTCATAATTTACTTTTTAATTATTAAATAAATTATAGTCCTTTGTGGGGATTAAAATCTAAACTTTAATTTAAATCAAAATCAACAATTTATTTTAATCACATATTTCACCTGATCCATAAATTTAGCAATGAATCGATCAAAATGAAATACAATCAAACATCGACAAAAAGATAAACCAAAATGAACATTCTCATAGCATTCGCCTTATAGTATGGCAAAAAAAAAAAATGATAAACGAGCACACAACGTTCCATTGCCATTCGTACATCTCAAACCACTTTATTTTCACCATCACCACCAAAGTGGGTTAAAAAGCAAATCTGTCATACTAAAATATGGAAACTACCTGATTCTGTTGCACGTTCAATTTCTTTTAACCGACCAAGAAAGCTGTTGAACGTGCATTTTAAAAGCTATTACACCATTACTCGTTTGCCTGTTTACGGGCTTCTTCTCGCATTGTTGCTTTTACGTAGATCTCATAGCAGCACCCTGGTTACAATAAACATCAAAAACAAAACGTAGAAACAAGTTTGCATAATGCACAATTGTGTTTTAACAATCAGAATACAAGAATTGCAAGCGACGCCGAACAATCTGGATACTAAACATGAAAGAGATGTAATGCATAAGAGCTCTGAGATTCAACTGTTCAGTGGTACCGCAGCAGTACACATTTACTTTCAAGATTGCGAATACTAAGTTGAAAATCAATTTCTTATTGTTCAATCCAACATTTCGTTAAATTTTAAGAGTAGTTATGTGTCTTCTATTTTTGCCCTCAAAGAAAATGTAAAATAATCAGAAGCAAACAGGGTTTAAGTAAGCACAAACAGCAAGTTATTTAAATCCGCAAACAGTGCACAAAATTCCATGTCATGATACTTTTAATGATAAAGCTTTTAAGATTTTATCTGTTGCAAACATTCTGGTCATCTCCTAGTTAACAGAATTCCAAATCAAACATTGTTAGGAGAAAAGAAGTTGGCTTGATACAACAGTATAGCACAATGAGTTCTTGTTCGGAAGGAGGATTAGCATACCAGCTACAACTATGATGGTCAAAGCATCTCCGACTATTTTGAGGCGCCGAACACTTCCCTTGTGTGATTTGAAGCGTTTTAATGCTGGGTCCTCCGCCAAGAGCTGAAACAATCAAAATAATGCACAATAGGACAAGAATTACTTGTTGAAAGGTGAGAAAAAGGACCCAACATGCACAGCAACAAAGGAAGAGAGGCACTAAAAGAATCTACATATAGTTCAATACAGTACGAAATATAATAAGGTTCGGAAGATAAATATTATCTGCAAACATAATCGCAGCAATGCAGTAGGGAGGTCCAGGTAATAGAATAAGGCACCCAAGCAACATTCTTCTAACCCCCCCAGCCCAACACATGCAACCACCAACAACACACAAAACAAATTACAATCATAACTCTTAGAAGCCTTCAGATTGTATCCAACTACTCACCAGGCTGCCAAGGACATCTAAAATTCCACTATCCACGTGTTCCCAATTTATAAGAAAGGTGCAGTTATCATGAACTAAGATTCTCTAAATGAAGTTTTAACAATCGCTTTCCCTAAATATGTAATAAAAAAGCTGTGGTTTGTAGACAAGAAAGCAATAACCTCTTTCCAAGTACATTAAGCCAACAAATGAGTAAAACTTCCGCTCTAGTCAACTGTAAAGATCAATGTCTAAAAAGGCGGTAATGGGTACTGAGGTGTTTTTCCTTCGTGAGGTGAGACGTAAGCCTAACTACAAACCAAAAAATTAAGTCCAAAAATTATAATATAATACAAAAATAAACATATATTAAACCATAAAAAAAAAAAAAAATCGAGAAATACAAAAAGGAAAAAATTAAAATCAGAGAGAGGAGAAAGATATTCAGAAATAAAAGAAAAAAATTGTAAATAAAAGCATTTAGCTCTTGTTTGATTCTCATTATTTCCAAAATATATTTTCCTCTCCTATTTTCAACCACACATTTTTTAATAAAATAATATTACATGCAAATCCAAAACTTTTTTTATTTTTTAACCACACATTCTTCATCAAAATATTATTCCAAAATGCATTTTGCAGAAAAAATGGGGCTCAAACAGGTCCTCACCTGCTGGAAATTACAGAATCAGTCTTGTAAAAGAAGCTTCTCTTGTTTCTTGGAAGTTGTGAGATGTGGGATAGTGTAGTGGGGTTGTTTAGGTTTTTCATTGTTTGGTCCCACAATGAAAAGAATTTATACCACCAATTATTTTATTTTATCTTTTATTTGAGAACAAAATGGGCTCATTTAAAAAGGCCATTTTATATATGAAACTCGCGCTAAGACTTACAAAAGAGGAAATTTTAAAAAAAAAATGTCAAAGGTCACGAAATTGAGGCGCTGGTATCGAGGCATGGGACTCAACCAATGAGGTGCCTGACTCATTGAAAAAGTACTATAATTACCACCTCGATGCAAAGTAGGTGCACCCGTGCCTCACCAGCACCTTTCCCGTGAGTCTAATCGTACCATACCTTTATGTTGAAAATTTCAGAAAAACTGAAAAAGAGCAATAGGTCACTATAGGGAAATGAACCCCCATAAAAGACGAAACATGGTATAGATGAGTGACTATTTGCATAAGCAAACTAAATGACATGATAATTGATGTCAACTTTGTTCCTCTAGGCTAATAAAGGAGTACAATCAGACAGAAAAACAATAAATGGCCAAAATGTCATGGAAGATGAAAAAAGGATGAACATCTGTGGTTTGTAGACCAGAAAGCAATAACCACTTTCCATTTACATGAGCCAATCAATGAGTAAAACTTCGGCTCTAGTCAACTGTAAAGAAGAGTAACTATTTGTACACATATTGTAACTTACAAAAAGTTTTTTAACTTTCAAAATTAAATATTAATATAAATTTGTCAGTTTTGATTTTAGGTTTTAATACAAAATTTAATCTCATAATTTAGACTGTAACTTTTACTTAAATGGGATTTATTGTCATGAATGTGGTGGGTCGAATTTGTCCCCATTTCCATTGTTTTAGATGTAACTTGAATATACAAAAAATACTCTACATAGATTTTATGTTATACTATTTTGACAACTAGATAAAGACTCGTTCTTTATCATCTAGTGATCGAGCACATAGAAAAACCAGCTGTGAGCTATATGAATTTTATTTTAAAACCGTGTAAGCCGAAAATACAGGCACGAAGAAGAGGCAACACGACTAGATTGTTTAGGAAAAAACGAGTGATTCGTGTGTGAATTATTCAAATAAATCAAATGATATCTTTAACTTGCCTTACGTTGTTGGGGGAAAAGATGAGTTATTTATGTGTAGATTATCAATTAACATAACAAATTTATATAATATAAAAATTATAATTCTACAAAAAAAATAAGAAGAGTTAGAAAGCAAGCATTAGGAAATCACGTCAAGAATGCTATCCTAAAGTCGTGTGTCTCCCATTCGTTCGTGTATTTTTGACACTACACGACTCAAAAATAAAACCTATATAGCTCACAGTTGGTTCTCTTTCTATGAGCACAACCATAAGGAGATAAAAAACGAGCCTTTATCGAGTTGCCAACACAATAGAATCTAAAATGTATAGGGAGCATTTTCAAACTTTTCTAAGTTGCATCAAACAATGAAATTTTCCATCCCTTTAATAGGGTAAAATTCAACCCCTACAATAATGGGTATTAAATAATTTAATTAAGGTTTTTAATTTTATTAAATCTAAAATTTAAAACAAAAACTGAAAATTAAAAAGGTACTAATTTTAAATTTTAAAACTTTTAATATTTATGTTACAACAGTATAAGCAAACTGAGAAGCATGATAATTGACTAACAATAATATGCCCTCGTTTGAGCCTCATTTTTTCAAAAAATAAAATTTTCAAAACTTATTTTCAACCATACATTTTCCAAATAGTTTTACATGTAAATCGAAAATTCTCTTATTTCTTAACCACACATTCTCCAATTCCAAAATATATATTTTTCTCAAAAGGGGGCTCAAACGAGGGCTATAAATTGATGTCAATTTCGTTCCACCGTAAAGGTTAAAAGGCTAATAAAGGAGTACGATCGGGGGGAAAACGTTAAGTGGCAAAATGCGATGGAAGATGAAAAAAGGATGAACATGTGGTGGCCATTCAGTATCATCTTAGCATAATTATGTCGCCAGCATCTGGTTACGGAGTCTCAAACAACTCATTGGATGTAAAGGCTCCATTAAAAGGTTCTAAACACAGATATTTAAAGTATGATGTGACACAGTTTATTGGTTTTCCAAGGAAAACATTTAGTAGAAAAGATGTAAGAATGCATCAGAACGGAAACGAATCTACTGAAACCCAAGAGCTACCCCAGTAAACAGAAGAAAAATCTTCGAACTATCTCAATTCAATGTTACTAGCGCTAGTGAGCTTTAACAATCAGATTATATACACCATACGATGGAATCATGGAATAATTCAGTGAGTCCATGAACACTCGGAACTCAAAGTCAACAGTTGGAATGGCATTCATTAAGCAGGAACCAAATAGTAGAAAACAACAGTCATGTACATTGATAGACAACAAAAACAACTAAACCGCATTCTCAATAAATGTGGAGTCGGCAATAGCCTAGAACTCCACTTATGTTTTTCCATAGCAGGTCCAAGT